CCGTCCCCGTGGCTTTGCAAGCTCGAGCGTGCAAGGTTAAATCGCATTGCTATAGCAAACGCGACGATGCGTCCTCATGACAGTCTCGTACTGTCCACCAACTCAAAACTACTTTTGCCCACCGAACGCCCGTGCGTCGACCAATTGATGCCAGCTTTGTTCGACGTGTCGTCGTAGAAAACGGCGACTTGGCGCTCTTAGAGCAACGATTTGCAGTCCACCGCGAAACGCACATGTAGTCCACCATGTTTGTCGTGGACATTACGTCGCCCAGCAAGCAGAGAACGCAGGATGCAGTCGCTTGGGCTTGAGCCGTTGGCAGTACCAAAACTGTGTCATTTCTGAATCCGCGTGCCAAGCACCATACGCCGGTACGCTACATCTTGGCCGTGGCCATGCCACCGTCAAATGCGTGGATGCTCCATGGGTGTAAAATGAAATCCCAGTTCAGTACCAGCGGTTCAGTTTCATCGTAGCGTATTCCACCGGTGGGCGTTGGGAGCTGACCAGATTCTCCTATCGTTTTTTACAACATGTACGCGCACGACGTGCGTCAGTGCTTGGATTCCGTTGTTCGGTGTGCATTTGCTGGCGCCAAAAGGCGAAATCGACGAAGGCGGAGATCGTCGCGACACGCTGGATCGAGCGGTGCGGGTTACACACTTAGTCCTATTATGGTTCGCGCCAGCCCATCCCCAAGCATATCCTCGATGGATTTCGACGCGCGCACACGATGGCGTGCCGTCGCCGCAAATATCTCTGCAGACATCTCGGCCGAGAAGAGTAGATTGAAGTTGTGTAGTTTATAGGGAGAGGATCGGGCGCGCTAATGCAGCGCTGGGAGCCTGCCACGTCATTCCCACCATCTGGTGCAAATGCGAGTCGAAGGTTCGATTGTCCAGCTTGTGGGGCAGGGAGGATCTTCGAGGCAGCGGATTGGCTGTTCGTGCGTACCGAGGACCAAGCAATGCTGCACGGCCCGTCCAAGCACATTGGTCGAGCTGTGGCTTCAAAGACGATAGGCAGTGAGATTTTAGCTAGGTGCATGAGGAGACCGTATCACTACCTTTCATTTGATGCCTTTGTAACCATAAACTCGCAAAAATAAAGGAGCTACGCTTGGGCTCGACCAACGTGCTTGGACGGGCCGTGCAGCATTACATCGCCCTCGGGACGCACGAGCAGCCAATCCGCTGCCTCGACGAAGCCTCAACGAAACGAATTGGTCACGGGGTGAGCTGTGCGGTGATATCTCGGTACTTGTACACATCGTCTTCTGGGACAGTCATATCACTGCCGACCTTCCCAACGCCTACTAGTATGTGTAACACGACGACGTGAAGCCAAAATGCCGGATAAACCTCCCGAATTTAATACCGACGCTTTCGAGTGCATACATCAAGAGCATCGCCGATTTGTCGATTGCGGACGAAGTGAACGAGAACGACGACGTCATCAACACCGCCTCGTGCTTCTATATCTCAAGAAGCATTTCATATTTGTGTGAGAGCGCATTCGCATCGCAATTGCATCGCCTAAGATTGCGTCTTGGCGTCACGCTGATGACGCCAGCGTGGTCCCCTTATAAATTTCCCTTCGAACTTGATATCTGCCGCAGCACTGGGTTGTTGATGATCTTTTTGTATTATTAATAGTGCAGCAGCACAATTAAATTTTATCTTCAATTAACTATAGACCAAGAGTGGTACAGGGAGGAAGGACGCCACATTTTCTTCCAACACCCAGTCCCACTGTGTCATTGTCATAAGAAAGAGGGTTTGCGTGGGCTTTGGATCATTCTTCAATTTACTTTGTTTTGAGCACCATGGTCCGCATCCACTCGACGTTTGCGCTCACGCTCGTGGCGCTTGCCGCCACCGAGACGACTGCTACGTGGGGCGACAGCGACAACCTCCGGAACCACGACGGTGGCAACTTCTGGGACTGGTGGAACCAGTGGAACAACTGGCAGC